ATGTCGGAACTTTTGACGCATGTGCATTTGCATAAATGTCTACACACACACATACACACTACACACAATAAAAAACATAGGAAATAGCAAGAGTGATTACAATAGTTCCTATTGCATTACATGCATAGGAACTAAAAAGGGTAATGTGGTGTGTTGTGTATTTTTATAACACTTATATAATTGGCATATCAAAACCAGCAAAGGAAAAACTGAAAATAAGATTATTTCTATTGCAATTATTATTGATTAATAAGAATGGGTACTGTAAAAATTAGTGTTGGTAATTAAAGACACAATATAATTATAAATGGAATAAAACTTTCAAACTAGACTGTCTTAGTGATCACATAATTAACTGAGTAAAAATACCAAGAGAATAATATGCAGTAAATATCAAAATAATCATAGCATAAATGATTTTGACTTTCTTGACAAAAATGTTATAGTCAAAAGAGTCAAAGTACATACTCATCAAACAGGACATTATGCTGAGGGCAAGTGCCAAGACTTCGTCGAATCTCGTCAATTTCTTTACGAACATCCTTGCCGTAGATATACGCTGATCCAGATGTTGGAGGAAAAAGTCCTGTCAGTATAGACCTTTAATATTAAATAAATAGCAATTGATTAATTTTTTTTATAAATTTTAAAATTGAAAGTGAATATTTATTATATAAATCTTAATAGCAACAGATTAAAATATAATTACAATGAAAATATTTGTTATAAATGAAGTAATATAATTTTTCCAGTAATTATCAATATTTATATTATTCTAAGGAAGGATTACTCTATATTTATTTCATAACAACAATGTAATCCATCTTAGATTACTGTGCATTGTTTTTTTTATGTTTGGTTAGGTCAATTATCCATGTAATTCTTTCTGCTATTACTGTACTGCCTTTTGTTGGTCTCAATCGGAAATTTAAAGCTAAAATAATAATCTTTGAACATACATTGTGGTGGTTTTTCCAGCGCCATTATGTCCAAGAAAAGAGGTGATCTGGTCTTCATAGAAATTCAGATTCAACCCATCAACTGCAGTTTTTTTTCCGAGCTTGTAGACTTTAACAAGATTGCGGATAGACACTCCCAATTTTAGATGTTCCGGGTCACGTTCAAATATGGTAGGGTCGTCTGAGGGAAAAAAAAATCAAATTCATACAATCATTAAAAATGAAACAAACTTCCCGAAGGAACTAATCTACACTTGGTTAAAATTATAAAAAGTTACACAAACCTAACAAATTGAGGAGATAGGAACATTGACCAAACTGAACTTAGTCATTGTATTATTGTTGGTGGGACCACACCCAATCACATATAAGACATTGAAGTTAAACTTGAAGTATTACAATTTAATCCACTGTGAAAATAAAGTAATAATTTTATTGAATTACGTTCATTTTGTTTGAAAAAAAAAAACAAAGATTTATCCAAATAAAAATTGTTCAAAGCAACATCTGGAGAAGATAAAAGTAAATCAACTTAGAGCACATGCTAATTGGTAAGTTTTACCTGTTTGGTTAAGATTTATAATTAAATTAACTCTAACATTATTTGTTACAGCAATTAACCATCTCAAAATAATGCTGGCTAGCATAATTTCTTTTAGCCTTTCAATAAAATCATAGGCTCTTCATCATTCAAACTAACATCATTAACAACAACAATGAAAACAGTACCACTCCAACCCACAACACATTATCACCAACAACATCAAGAACAACAGAGGATAACACTATACCCTCCTCCAAGCTTCTCTCCATTAGAACTCCTAATAAATCTACTTACCATCAGATATTCTTCCAAGTTCACATGCATCACTATTGTCTATATTTGCACTTTTTCCAAACCAATAAGATTTTGTGAAAGGAAAATACCAATCTCGAGGCATCCCATACTGGCCTAGGTTCATGAAAAGAAAGCAAAACATTACATAAGAAATATTTAAAAAACAAATTTAAATTAGAAAAACAAGAATATTTAACAATTGTTAAAGTAGCTCTAGTTGTTAGCTAGTGATTAATTAATTTCAAGGCATACGCCACCTTAAATTAAACATTCAACCCCTTAATCTTGTGACTGGGTATGTATGTAACAATTGATTGTTCACTAACTACTGAGCGAAGTGCTGGCTCAAAAGAAAAGAAACTCAGCTAGGCAGGAAGCTGAGCTTTAATAATTAACAGAATTAGCTTTAAACATAACCATACACAAATAGACAATTAATATTGATGGTAAAAAATGGCAGACTAACCTGGAAACACAGCTTCAATATACCACACAAGGATTAAGTAAATGACAGTATCTACCCACATCATGATGATAGACTGCAGGAAGCCAAACCCATTATCACCTGTTACTGGGCTTTTAGCGATGTTGGACCACTGGACACCAGTTCCTTGGATCTCATACAGTGACAAGTAGGTTGTCCCGTAACCAAAGGCAATCGTATTGCACAAAGACTAGAATAAAAATAAATAATATATTAACGGTAATACACCATCAAAACTGAACCCTTGAGCAGAGATGAAATAGATCAAGGAGATAAATGGTCTACATGGTATAAGCATACTACATTGACTGCTCTATGACAGATGTTCAACTCCATTTATTAGGTGCTTTTTTGATCATTAAAAATACTTACGACAGTAAACTTCGCTCCAGTTGACATATACTCATCCCATGAGTATACCATGGTGTACGGCACATACGTAGCGAAGTAAAACACCGCACCACATGCAGCTGCTAAGTTGGCACGTGAGAAAAAAACACTTATCAGAAAGCAGAGGGCAATTGTGGAGATACTGAATGATGAGAAGAAAAACAGGAGCACAAAGGGGTCACTGTATATCAGGAGGTCGCCTTGCTGTGGAGAAAAAAATAAAATATTGAGAACACCCTCAAACATTTCAAGTAAAACATGTTTTAAAAAAAATCAGTTTACAGGCATTTTACTACAAGGATTTTTGACTAGAAAAATATTTCTTTGATCAGGTGCTTCTAGACTGTGAAATAGTAAAAATTGTAAAATTATGAACAAAATTAGAGATTTCCAAAAAAAAAAAAAAAAGATGAAATTTGTAAAAAGAGGCTTATAATTAAAGTATCTGGTAGCACCAGCGATTCCCTAACAAAGGGTTCAAAGTCCTTGGGAGTGGGGTCTACACTAGCCTTAGCTGATGAAACTGAGGTGAGAAAATTTTAAGAATAGGCACCCAAAAACGAATTGTCACACTGTAAAACTGTTTTTTTCAAAGCAGTGTTCCCTGACAGGTGTTCCACCATCAGGCTTCTCTCCCAATGGGGTTCATGTGACCGCTGGGGTGCCACCACTGAGAACAAGATAGAGATACATACCTTGATAACAATAATAAGGAGGATTGAACTGAGGAACATGACTGTGAAGCTATTGATCATCCAAGCCACCCAATGCACCCCGTTACTGAGGCCCATCACTTTCATTACTTCTTTCAGACGTTTCTCCTTCTCATATACAATGCTTTTAATGATCATGGCGACAGAATAAACCCAGGAAATGGTCATCCACAATGGGAGGGCGCCAGACAATTCAAACACAAACCTGGAAAGGAGATGAAAATTACCATTACAATTCTCATTGGAATCGTGATAAACATAAAATTTCATCAAATAAAATGTTTTAATGATTCTCTTAAGCTTAGTCTCCATACAATTACTACACAGTCGCTACAGTGTTTTCACTGCAATCCTTGCACTGCGTAGCTGTCTTCGACACAATCAGGAATGCTTCCTGATTCAACAGACCAATCAGAGTTGGCGATAACATGTAGCGATTTTATGGAAACCAGGCTATACCTTCTTATACGCCTTGAAATTTCAGAGAGTTTTTAGCTCTACAGTTAACTGTTTAACACCTGACTGAGGCTTAATATATTAAAATTTTTATTCCTATTTATTTACATTTCTCAAAAAGATAGCACATACACGGGTAATGGCAATACAAAAAAAAAATTATGCCAGAGTTATGTTAACTAAAAAAATAAAGATGTGTGAATAATATTCTTTTTGAAACTCAAAATTCTGCCCAATTGAACAGGAGTGCAATCTTTAAAATCCCAAAATATATTAGTTTAAACAAAATAAAAGAGAATTCTAACAGGAATCAAACAGTATGAAATTAAGGAAGTCAAGCGTTATTAAGAGATCTACTTACAAATCATCGATATAGCATGGATAAGGAAACTGTTGCACATAGATGCCTGCACCCGCTTTCTCAACACCGGTAGATGCTTTAATGATACCTTGTTCAATCATGTCCTGTACATACACAAATCCACTTTGAATGTATTTTAGGTCAAAGCTAACTCCCCCTCTCGGCCCAGGTGACCAGTACCTTCAGAGAAAATATGAAGTATAATATTAAGGGTGGTAAAGAGAAAATATAAAGAGTAAAACATTCAAAACATCCTCACTTGTTTATTAAGTTGTCAGCTTCCTAGATGGAAGCTGCTCAAAAACTATATGGAGAGGAATATAATTTGGTTGAATTATCTTGGAAGAAGCCATCTCGACACACAAATGCACAAAGTCAGCAGAAATGTAAGCTATGTGCTAGGTATGAAAACTTTACTATATTGCCCAGAGAAAGCATACATTCTAGCAAGTATGTTAATTGAACAAATACATGATCTTATCTAATTACCTATCAGTGAGGTATCTTGTTTTTTCAACTCTATCGGAATCCATTCGTATTTTGTACTTCACATGCCCTGGAATTGTGCTACCAGCACCTTCCATGTCTATAAACACAACACCTGTAAACAAGAACAAGCTTTTCAAAAACTACCATGTAAATTCCTGAAAGTACACATACAAATTATGTATACCATTATTATATTTGCAGTTACACAAGAACATTTACCAACCTGCCCAGAATGTTTCATTGGTGAGTAGCTTTGATGCCTCCTCCAACATTGTCTCCTCTGACTCCATACCCAAGAAACGGTCAATCTTGATGCACTGCCAATACAGAAATCCAGAATATATTCAACACAATATATAAAATTTTACTTGTAAGTTTATAAGAACTAAAGTTTCCATTATCAGTTGAATAACATTAAAAATACAGTACTTACACTTAATAGGGATGTCACCTTAATGAGGAAGCCCAATAGGATGGGTTTTACTATATTTTCATTTATGTGTTACTTTACTTGTAAAGTAAAAAAAAAAATCAACCTCATCATAAAAAACACATTTACCTTGAGCATCTTAATTGTGATGTTTGCAACATTGTCCAATGCATCAAGAACTTGCAGCCACTCAGTAGTATTGATGGATTCCACTATATCTATTGTCTTTGAGAAGTCAACGTCTGATTGATTTGCTGCAGCTTCGTACGCTTCTTCTAAGGCAGCCCTTACGACTGGGTTCTGCAAAGTTTTCTGATTATAATTTCAATGAAAATTAGTTTTATTTGAGATAAAAATTTTCATAAAGAAGGAGAGTAAGTGGAGAGGAGCTGTTTATAGTGGAAAAGTATTCCATTTTTGTAATATCAGAGTTGTGAATTGAAATTATTTAAAGGTCTGTTCACGCCATCATTCCATGCAACAAACATTGGAGATTATAATATCTGACATGCAGTGGCAGATACCAAGTTGGGCAAAAACGGCTTACAAAAACTACAATGAAGAAGGTAATAAAAACCCACCTCAAGCTGACCTAATTGGCCATCAGGGCTTATAAGTTGTCGTAACCTAGGCGAGTAAGCCAACCATCGCTCTGCAAGGTCATTCACCATCCACAAGGTGTCAAAGGGCGCCTTGGCCTGAAATTAAACAAAACACACAACAGTTAGAATATGTATTTGTACTGTTAATTAATATTAATTAAAAGGTACTACTGCAATATTCCACAAGTATTGAGCTATTGCTATTGCTATTTTGATTTGAGTTTCCATCAGGAAAGTATCATAACACGTCAGGTAGGGCAAAACATCACTACTATCATAATAATGGGGTTAAATTGAATTCAAACTACCTTTTCAATGATTATATTTGTAGCTTCATTGTTTGGTGTATACAAGATTGCACCTTGGAGAAGAGGTTTCAACATCCGCATCAGTACAACAACACAAGGGTCGTCAGAATCTTCCATCAGATCTAATGGACATCCGTCTATAAATCAATCCAAGACATTAATTATGCAACTAATTTCACATTATCTCATTTTAAAATTTCAATTTCCAAAAATTAAAAAAATGAGAGTCTGTGGCTGGCCATTTGTTTTGTGTAACTGGGCAAGGCACTTAATTTTGATTGTCTGCCTCCACTCAGGAAGAGCATAAGTAGTAGCAGCAGAATCAAATGCCAATGTGCTCTTATAGCTTAAGCATAATGAAACAATCCCCTAGACTGAGTATGTATTGAGTATTTTTATTTTTTTATTATATTACACTTTGTACTTGAATTTTGTTTTTAATTGTACTTTTGATGTTTCCTTCTGTTTTTCCTTGATTGTGTACCTTAACTGTAAATTTGTACTCGAATTCAGCCCTTTGAGCTGCTATCGTACTTATAGTGGTTTTGCATAAAGAATTGATTAAAAGCATACAAATGATGTGTTTTGAACATCCCATAATGGGGTAATTATTATACAATATTTTCAATTTTTGGCAGTTGTCATACAAATTTCAATTTGTGTCACACAACTGCAAATAAAGAACCTTGTATCATATATATCGTACAAAAACAAACAAAAAAATTACCATAGGTTTCCAAGGCTCCTGTGAAGTTGAATGTTCCCAAACTGCAACTATCTTTCATGGATGGAGTGCTACTCGATACTCTAGTCTCCCCACCATCTAACCCTCCTTCGTGTTGTCCATCAACCTGGCCTGCTAACAGATCATTATCTGTACTTAAACCACATACAAGCGCTTGCATGTCTGTGTTACCCAGCTGCGTTTGAATATCCTGGATATACACTTCAATACTTTGGAGATCTTGAATCTAAAATATTAATAATAAAAATATATAGATACTGTATATAGATATTTACTGTACTCAGAATATTCTAAATTGCTGGAATACAGGGATACATACAATTTATCTCAATGCAAACACAATTTTAAAGTCATAAAAATGTTTAGTTTTTACTTAAGGTCTCTTGAGGAGCAATATATATAAAAAGACCTCACCTCTTTAGCCACGTCTGAGAGTTCAACAAAAAGATTCATAGCTGATTCTGTATCAGTAACATTGAACTAAAAAAAAAACAATTAAATTGTAAATTACATCAGATAAACACTTTTTAAACCAATCAATTCTGAATTATATTTGTAGCACTGCTTCATATAATAGTTTATTCCTTTAAATAAATTAAGCATGCATACTAAAATAACTTAGTAATGATAACAATGTAATAATACATTGTTATCCTTGCACTAGTGTTACAAAGAATGCTATAGTTATTCTTAAATTCTACATTCAGTAAAATGGCTGATAAACAAGTAGCTGCAAAATGGATTTTCCTCCAGAGCAGGAGTGGGCATAGAAATGTGTTGGAGGGCCAAAGTGAATTTTTTATTTAACATCGAGGGCAGCACCCAAACTTTGATGTGTCCAGTGCACTTCCAAAAAACCTTTATGCACTGCTTTTTATACCGTTTTATGCTCAGTTTTAATATTACTTTTTATAGATGATTGATGTTGGGCCATATAAAACAAGGTGTTTTCCAGCCAAAGATGGTTGGTGGGCACACATCGGGTATTTCATTCATTTTCGTGGGCCGCAAACAAATCACTGTCGGCCCGAACTTTGCCCACCGGTGACCTAGAGGGAGACAAAAAAAACTTACAAGTTTCAGGAAGGTAGTTACATTAACCTGCTTGCTGACTGCCTGGGACAACTCGTCCAATTGAGCATCTGTCAAATTGCACAATGAATCGCTGAGTGTTTGCAGCGAACTGGGATCCGCAACGTCCACATATTCACGCAGCGTTGTCGTATTGCACACAATAGGTCTCATCGCACTGCCTTCAGAAAGGAGTTGTAACTAAAATACATAAAAAAATATCCATATAAAAAAGATCCAAGATCCAATTAAGTCCAAGTATCTATATGGTTCAATGCACACAAATTTGGAAACTACATACTGCAACTAACTATGCTAATAGGTAAATTAATGACTTACTTCTTTAACGGAAGTCGATGACTGTAGTAAGGCATTAGTGGCTCCATCAGACAGTGAGATATTCTGGGTCAGGAATGTTTGCAACTGGTTTGGATTGTTAATCACACTGCTTAATGGAAAATTTTCTGAATATAAAATGGTAAACAAAGAATCATGTATATTTAATTTCTTTTGATAATAAAATGTAACACTCTGAATTTTTTTCAATATTATTAATATTAGGTAATATGACAGCCCTCTGACAATTAAGTTGTTATTACTGAATAAACAACATCCCTAACCTTAGTTGGTACTGCCATCTGCAGTTTACTAAAAAGTTAAAAACTATACTACTCAACTATACAGGGGCAGATCTGGGTTCAAATTTAGTAGCGGGTCAGAATGTTTAAAAAAAAATCCAAAAAGAAAGGGGGGTTGGGGGTCCTCCGCCGGGAAAATGTTGATTCCTAGATTGCGTGAAATGAGCTTTCCCAACTTCTGAAGTGTCTTTTGATGACTTTTAAGTTCTTTAAAATTCAAGGTTTTATCCCCTCTTGAAAATGGTCAGGTATTAAAATTTTTCTCATTATTTTTACAGTAAATAGACCTATTTTATGTGTACTGGTATACATACAGAAAAAAAAATTGAGTAGTTGCATACATAATTCTTTTTCCATGAATCAATGAACCCCTAAAAAAGGGGGTCAGGGTCCTCCCCAGGGAAATTTGATTTCCCGACTTCCGAGTACTTCAAAATTCAAGGTATTCCCATAATGAAAACGGTCAAACAAAGTTTCTCATTCTTATTACAGTAAATAGGTCTATGTGTGTATACATAAAAAAAATTGAGTAGTTGCATACATATTCTTTTTTCCATGAACAGATGAAACCCAAAGAGAATGGGGGAAGTTCAGGAAAATTTTGATTCCTAGGTGGTCAGGACCCCCCCTGATCCCCCTCAAGATCCACCAATGACTATATCAGGAGTCCCAATTGGGAAGCAGTCACTTCCGGTAGATATGGCTAAATGAGCTCTTTGGTAACATATATAATTTTGTTTTGCTGCACATAGCGATACATATCAGCACTGTTTTCCATGAGAAAAATTGACAATAAAACAGTGAATACATGCAAAAGTATCAATAATTTGAGGGAGATGGGGAGGCCGTCCAAACTTCTGAGAGACTCCCATGAGTTGCTGGAGATTTGGAACCCCATATAGAGTAGATCTTCAGCCCAATCCAAAAACAGAATAAAAGTGATAATGTAGTTTACAAGAAAAATTCATAAGCAAGTCGAAATCTTACTTATAAATACACATACAACAGTAACATGGAATGGGAAATACATAATAAGGTGAACAATTTGTAAACTTATTCTTCCTTCCTATTCCTTGTAAACTTACCGACAGCTGTTAATCCAGCATTTTGAAGTTGTGTGGTGAGTTCTTCTAATTTCTTTGGATCGAGATCTGCATATGATGATGGGTCCAGATTTTCAAGAGAAGTTGGATCTAATGTATCAGTCTGGAAAGAAAATGATGCACTTTGTAACTTCTCCAAATATTTTTTCCCTGCCTGTCATATTTAACTAAAGCTGGATATTTATTGTTTAAATAATTTCATTTGGCTTCTGATATATATTTTAGATGAATTTTCTTTAGTACTAAGCCAACTGTAACATGTCTTACCACTACAGTTTTGACCAACTTTGTTGAACTTCAAACAAAGTTGTCAAAACTGTAGTGTAAGAAATTTTATATTATATTAAGAATATTTACAGTGAATTTTAATAAGTTTTTATGACTTCCATATTGATATTTGTTTGGTTTTTTGATTTCATTCAATTGCATATTGTTTTTTGAAGATCAGGGGAAGATCCAGAACTTCTGAGATGAGGGAGGTGCCAATTTTATATAGTCCTAGATGTAAGCATCCAACAATGGTATTAATTCGTGGTCAGTATAATAATTATACTATAACAAAATATTGTAATATTTGTACGCCATTTTGTATTTTTTTTTCTGTTAAAAAAGAAAAGACGACAGTGGCACAACCAGGGTTATGTTCCTGATCCCTAAATCCATCATGAATATTAGCCTAGCTGGAAGGGTCACCATCTATAAAGATTGTTGAAATAAAATAAATAAAATATTTTACCCCTGCAAGAAGCTGAGTCCAGTCAATGTTTCGAACAATATCTTCCCCGAGTTTATTCCAGTCATCGGTGGTAAGATCACAGAGTTCCCTTTTTGTCTTATCAAGAAGAGCTGGATCCGATATATCTAGTACAGCCTTCAGCGCTGTAGCATTACAGGCTATACTTTTATATTCATCTCCTTCAAACAACTCAAATATCTACATACCAAAGAAACATATCATATATATACTTGCATATTTATAGACGAGGCTTAAAATAGCAAATTACAATCGAAAAACAGGGGGTCGTATTATTTTAATCTTATTTTCTGGATTATTTTATTTCTTTTAAAAGGGTTCAGATTAAAGCTATATAAGAATTACCAGAATCAAAAAAATTGTAATAGGAATTGAAGTAAATGATATCTAGATATGTAAAATACCAAGGTCACTATTATGTAACATAATTTATAATCAATGACAAAACCACCCATGTTAAAAGCAATAAAGGTGGTTAGGTAGAATTATCATGCCACAAAACATAACGCCCACCCACTGATGTTTACCCAGCCTACATTCACATTTCATGAATGGTAAATCTGTTAGGTAATTAGTTGTTAATTAGTTTAGAAACCTTATTATGCTACTTAAAAATATATTAGTTTTTTTTTATTTGATTTGATTTATTCGCATCTCATATAAAAAACAGTACAATCATTAAAACAATGCACAATGTAAAAAGCATAAAATTCATTAAAAAAAGTTACCAAGAAAACAAGCAAAAGGCCAGTGCAAAGTTACTGATATTTACTAATAATCAACAAATATCATGTCAATTAATAATAATAATAATAATCTGAATCAGATCATATATGTAATTTATACTTAATTTGTTATTATTTAAAAACAGTTTGCTGTTTATCAGTTAAATTTAGGTTTTTATCTCTATATTCCTTGTCAAATATAAATTAGATTAATCTGTCTAAACAATATTTTCATTTTTGTCGCTGATAATATAGTATTTCTTTATTATTTAAAAAATTTTCATAACTGAACATTTACATATATATAATAATCAACATGACCTATAATTAAGTTGTCCATATATGCTTGGCTTGAATTTAATACATTATGTAAGCAAACTTGGTTGCATGAAGTAAATTTGATGCAAAATACATGTCATATTTCTGTTTGGCAATCCCCTGTGGAATTTAATATAATGTAAACCATTAAATTATTGATGTAACAATATGTTATAAAGCAGCTTCAGCAAGATTACGTAAAAACTGTAATGTTGACAACACGCTTGAAGGCACACATGGACTCTACCACTTACCTGCTGAGGGGTAATAGGAGCATTCAACAGTGCATCAGCTACATCAGGCGTTAGGTTCAATTCATCAGTCATTAAGTTCTTTACTTCAGTTGGGTTTTCCAAATAATCAGCCAATGACTTGTCTATTAACAATTTAGATAATGTAAAAAGAAAATAATTATCCAAGATACATAACAATACATGATTTTCATTTTCTTTTTTAATATTCCCATTCTTTGCATGACCAAGTAGATCAGTGATCAAGAAGACTCAAGAATGCCTATCATTATATCTAAAAACTATTATCATCATCATTAAAATGTATTTTTGAATGCAGAAGGCTAAAAAATAGGGATCATAAAAATACATCATTTTTAAAAGTTCATTAAAATCAAATCAACATTTATTAACTTCCTTACACTGCACAGGACAAAAAAAAACAAAAAACAAAAACAAAACAATTTGATTACACACCGACCAACCGAGATGGAGCAACAAAAAAAATGGACGAGGTTTAGTAATAAAAAAAAAAATGTAATAATTAAAAAATAAAGTGATGTTTGAGCTGGTTAAATAGTTTTTAATGGAAGAGTCTTTAACTAAATGGGAGGGTAACAAATTCCAAAATTTAATGTTATGCTGGAAATAGGCCTAATTAGTTCAATGGGTGGGTACTGTATACAAATATTAGAGATATTTTGTCTATTGTAATTATGAATGGAATAATTAGATTTTAAAATGTTACAGAGATGAATTGGTAAAATACAGCCCAAGTGATAATAGTAACTACAGTAAAAATTGATTGAAATAAAGAAGGAAAACAGCCAAAATAGGATACCAAATCAAGTTGAGAGTGAAAGCATAAATTGTATTGAAGATAATCCATCAGAAAAAAAACAAATATCAGGAGGTTTGAAGGATGGAAATAATTTCCATTAGGAAAATTTCTGGAAATGTTTCCACTGGAAAGTGGGTACTGTATCTTCAAGGACATTTATTAAACCAATGACTTAGTTAAAAAGTTTTTGCTGACACACCAGGATACCAGTTGCAGTAATAAGGAAGTTTATACAGAAGACATGAATGAGCAAGTTTTTCCGGCAAACAAGTGAATGGGTCTACTTTGTGACACACCTCCAGGTATTCTGTTACAAAAACAAAACTACACACTGTACTATTTGCTGCGAAGCAGCCAATTCATATTCTTGACAGCAATTTGACCTCTGAAAGGTCATTGTTTGTCAAAAAACATGGGCCTAAGACGACTGAAAAGTGGAGTTTCCTTCTTTCGTTCTGCTGGGTAAAATCAATTACTTTAGGCGACGTTGTAGACTAACCTACACGTACCAATGTCCACATGTCGCGCTAGCCTTATCCTACTCTAGGACTAGCTAGGATGGTATAGGCATAGCCTTGAAGGGATGACGGTCCCAATGAAAAACAACGTCGCTCCTTGATAGCTAACATTGTCTCTTTAACATCACAATAATTCATTATTAGACCTATAGTTGTTTTTTGAATTGTACTCCACATATCTCAGCCGATACCTCGCACAACTCGTTAACGTCTCGTATCTATTTTTGTGACGTCATGGCTCGCTGGATCACACCTGTGATGTCTCACACTTTTGGTAATCAACTACATTTTCCACATACAGTACATAGAAATTTTTGAAATTTTATTAAAAAAAACCTAAACCATAATTCACCACTATAGACACTTTTTGACAAAAATGAAAAATTACGACTTTGTTACCCAATGAGAAGTGTTCTAATATAGACAATGGGTCGTGTCTCATACTATTTGTTATATTTTTATTATTCATTATTTTCACTTGACTCGCATAAATAATTTTGTTTGAAGGACATTTATATGCAGTTGTACTTCGCAGCACTTCACTTGCAATTTGCAATTTCTAGTTTTAACCTGTTAGTTCATGTAGAATATCATTCATAAACACTGGTTGTAATACTATATATGTTCTCACACCACCCACACATAGAGTGCCAAATATTATTTTTCCAGATTGAACCTAGTAGTACAGTAGTACAGATGTTGTGGCATGGAAATCAATGTTTGTCTGATACAAGAAGACTACATTTAAACTTGCCTAAGTTGACTTTATAAGTCAATTTTATTTTACACCAAATTTTTGTGTTTTCCATTAATTAACGATCTGTAAGTAAAATTTTATCCAAGACAAACAATTTTTCAATGCCATTTGGAATTTTACTTAGGCAAGTGCAACTGTATATATGCAATTAACAAAAAAGCATGATGCAAGGTTTCTTTATAAATAAAACACATTTACAATGTGCTCTCATATAAAACATTGAAGAGCATAATGTAGGCAAGAGGCAATCCAATGACAAGGGATAATAACATTGCCAGCACTTTGACCATTCACTGGTTTATAAAAGGGGCAAATTAAACCCTTATTAACATGATTACCTTGCGGCAAAGATGAGGGTAACTCTTGCCACTGGTCTTGGTCCAGACGATTGGCAATATCTGAAACCTGTATCCACAGCTTACTTCCTTCTTCAATTACAGTCGAATTTGAAAATATTTGTTCAACATCCCAGAGGATTTTATTTAACCTGGAGAAAACAAAATAATTAGAGTTTAGACATTCACAGTTTCTACTGTACATTAAAAGGCATTGACGAACACAAATGAATTCTATACCTACAGTAGATTATCAATGTATAAACACAAGTTGACAATCTAGGTATAGGCTTATTATATCAACATCAATAGGCCTAGAAAGGCTTGGCTACAGGTAAGATAACAAGATGATCAGGGGAAGATCCAGGAAGGGGGAGGGACATGGGGCTAGGCCCCCAAAAATGTTAGAAAAAAAAAAAAGAGAAAAAGAAAATTAAGAAGAAAGAGAGGTGCACGGTACTTCAAAACAAGCTACTTTTTAAATTTAAATTCCATGTACCAGTGTCCATGTTCAATCGTTTGTAAAAAAAATCTTAAATACCACCAACCCTCTCCCTATCCCTCCTCATCTAGAAAAACAATGCATCATGCATTATAATACATTGATGATAGGCTACATGTATCTGTAAACATACTGAATGATAAATATTTCTTTCTACTGTATCCACATTTAAAAAATGTTATTCATTTGTATGTTAATATGCAAGTTTATATCAAAATTAAATTTTAAAAATACACAAATTAGAAGTTATGCTGTTAGTCTATGAAAGTGAGATAATTTATATATATTTATTATTATTATATAGTAATACATATATAATACATTACTATTATAAATATATATTATTATTAGTTATTACTATCATATATAGTAATATATAGTGACTTGAAATAGAAAATGTTATGTTTTTGGTAAAACTGAGAAAAATTTTTTTTTTGTAAATTGTTTTCCAAATTTGTGACCAAAACTGCTGTGTTAATACCAATGTTAAACAATATTTACATACTGTACTGTCTTGTGTATTACTGTATTTAATATCTCCTTGGATTGGAAATGATCAATCATTTTATAAAAGGTCAATGTGGCATTGACATTTCAAAGAAAATGGTAATAATTATAAGCTACTACTACAGTACATGCATATTAATGGATAGCTGGAAGCTAAAATGAAGAATGAAACAGGATGTAATCAAAATATGGATTGGAGCAAAACATTATTATCATGGAAGTTACAAGGATATTCCACAGGAATTATGAAGGTCAAATGAGTTTAATAGCATGCATCATATTTCTAACGATTATATAAATTATATAATAGGCCTACAGTGTGTGGAGACTAAGATCTGGTGTTTACACTATTAAATTGTATGTGATAAATACATGTGATTTACTGATGCTTATATCTGAGTGTAATGATCATCATGCCCATACAGTATATGGTAACTTCACACAAACCTGCCACATACAATTTGATACAGAGGTTAACAAACTTGAATTATACAAAATATTGGATTGCTTACATATATCTTGTATTATATTATCTTTCATTGTTCAATAAAAAAAATTTGAATCAATTAAAATCAATTTTTTTGATTTATCAACTACCAAGAGCTTTGTCTGCCAAACACACATTATTGACTCCAATACAACTGAAAATATACCATTAAAAAAATCCCTAAGCCTAGCTTCGACCCTCCCTCCTAGTACAAGAAACAAAGTAACGTTAAAAACACACTTGTCGACCAGGTTCAAAAACGTCATGTAATCCGAGCTGCTGCCAATGTAATTATTTTCATCATCATCATGATTTTTTCATATTAACATAGAAAAAATCCTGAAAATTAACATCATGATTATACGGCATCATTATTAGGCCAAATAAAAAATATATGTGGCAAAGACAAGCCAAACCAGTCACTCATCGCAAAAATCGATTTTGAGTTATTAATACAGTGTTAGAGAGTAAAATAATAGCTATAAAATGGTAAAAAAATCATTCAAATTGGACATTTCGTTATGAAGTTACAAGCGTTTAACCACACAGCTGTTTAAAGAAAAATATATGAGAAATTAACCGTCAAAGTTTATGATTTCAGGCAGCATAGAATGATGTGTTGATATATAAAGGTTATTTTAATGCAATAAAATAGATTTTTTTAAATTTGACATTCCAGCATGTTTTGGCCATTTTCTCTGAAACACGATTTGCGACGAGTGACTGGTTTGGCTTGTCTTTGCCACATATTATGTTTCTCATTCCCCTGGCGTTTCCATTTTCTCTGTCAAACATCACTAAATTATGCACTTTAGAGATGTTTAGAAGCAGCAGCTGGTTGTTAAAAGAGTAGCAGCCTTAATCAAATATGAATGGGAATTTTGTAGGCTGGTATAATTAAAGGAATACCTACAGTAGGATGAATGTAATTAAATACTGTACACCTACAACTGTACTACATGCCATTAAGCTAACTTTAACAAGCTAAGCAGAAAACTGACAATGCTAGTCTATTAAAGATGTATAATTACTATAAGGTCTCTATAGCACTTCACATTAACAAGGGAATTGGTATGCTTAACAAATACTATATAGAATGTACCATGAAAATGGTCGACTAGATACAATCAACCTTGGCGTAATTATATTTGGGAATATAAAGGAATAAAGTAGCTCTTCTTAATGTCAACAGCAAAGTGTCAATTTATAAGCTAGATACAGGAGACTAAAGATTTAGTAGAATACATTAGTTAATAATATATGAATTCAAGTGATACTGAAGGTGATGCATATTTGCTACGAAGCAGCCAATCCATATTCTTGACAGCAATTTGACCTCTTAAAGGTCATTGTTTGTCAAAAAACAAGGGCCTAAGACGACTGAAAAGCGGAGTTTCCTTCTTTCGTTCTGCTGGGTAAAATCAATTACTTAAGCCGACGTTTGTAGACTAACCAACACGTACCAACGTCCGCATGTCGCACTAGCCTTCTCTATGCCTAGACTAGCTAGGATGGTATAGGCCTAGCCTTGAAGGGACGAAGGTCCCAATGAAAAACAATGTCGCTCCTTGATAGCTAACATTGTCTATTTAACATCACAATAATTCATTATTAAACCTATAGTTGTTTTTTGAATTGTACTCCACAAATCTCAGCCGATACCTTGCACAACTCGAGTAACATCTCGTATCTATTGTCGTGACGTCATGGCTCGCTGGCTCACACTTGCGATGTCTCGCACTTGTGATCAAATAACACGAAGGCTCGCACTTTGACAACACTCTTTGGCTGTCAACTCGCCCCTAGAAAACCCGCCCTTGGAAACTTCCCCATAAAATAATGTACACTTCCTAGACCAAATGCAGTCTTCAAAATAAAAATTGTAACCTTTGGTAATCAACTACATTTTCCACATACATAGAAATTTTTAAAACTTTATTAAAAAAAAACCTAAACCATAATTCACCATTATAGACACTTTTTGACAAAAATGAAAAATAACGACTTTGTTACCCAATGAGAAGTGTTCTAATATAGACAATGTGTCGTGTCTCATATTATTTTTTATATAATATTTTTATTATTCATTATCTTCACTTGACTCGCATAAATAATTTTGTTCGAAGAACATTTATATGCAGTTGTACTTCGCAGCACTTTACTTGCAATTTGCAATTTCTAGTACAAAATAATATTTAAGCAAAAAACAGGAAGGCTTTATTCATTTTTATACTAACCCTGTGAAACTATATGTCAATTTTAATTTTCAAAAGGCTAATATAAAAGTTAGGGGTCATTGAACATTATACAATAACATGCAATATGTAAAATAATGTTAAAAGTATAATGTAACCATGGATATAAAATTCATATTTAAGCAACCAAGTACAAAAATGGAGAATGGTTTTGCAAAATCAACATTTTTTGTACACATTCAGAAGGGAGGGAGGGGATAACGAAAAAGAGTACAGCTTGAACACTTGTGAAAATGTTCATAAAAATTTGTGAATGAACTCTAACTAGAACTGTAAAATAAAAAACTTGCCTTTTGAAAATGTATTCATGATGTTGTATGAAGTGTTGGTTAAGCATGGTTTTAGTGAAAATAGAAGTCTGGATGTTCATGTAATTTTAACTATACAGCAAACACAATTACTGAGATTGATAATTACACTTGACTTCCAATAAATCTATTATGTTTCAAATGTATGTTTTATAGATTAAAATCACTATCCATGTGTTAAAATGGTAATTATCAAGTGTTACAGGATTTAAATCTGGTAACCAAAATAATGCATACATATTTTTTCAGAACAAAACATTTGTTATTTAATAATAGCAATCACTGTCAAAAACTACATTGTAACCCCACTTTATGTACTTTGTTTAATATAATGATTTGTTGCCGTTTTGCTGTGTAGTGGTATGCTTTTTTTTGTTTTTTTCCATATGTTTTTAAATAATAATAATAATAATAATAATAATAATAATAATAATAATAATAATAATTATGGTATTATGATTTTGGTAATTATGGTTATATTAATTGTAATTCTTATAATTATGCTTCTAGTTGTAATTATTATAACGGTCTTATTTTTGTACAGTATTTTTAATGTAAATACAATGATGCAATTCAGCATCGGCTGCCACTGATTGTATAGATTGAAAAAAAAAAAAATTGTAGTCACACAGTCAAACTCAGTGGGTGGCCAACCATTTCATCCTGAGATCTGTTTAACTCACAGCGTCATTGTGGTAAATTGCACATGGCCTGGGTCCCTGCCTACTGTACCTAACAAGCCGTGACACTTGTAGTACTGAATGATAAATATTTCTTTCTACTGTATCCACATTTAAAAAATGTTGTTCATCTGTATGTTCTTAATAATATGCGAGTTTATATCAAAATTAAATTTTAACAATACACAAATCAGAAGTTATTTTGTTAGACTATGACAGTGAGATAATATAGACTTGAAATAGAAAATGTTATATTTTTTGTAAAACTGGGGCATAGCTTTTTTTGTAAATTGTTTTTCAAATTTGTGACTAAAACTACTGTTATACCAATGTTAAACAATATTTACATACTGTACTGTGTCTCATGTATCATTGTATTTGATATCATCTTCGATTGGAAATGACCAATCATTTTATAAAAGGTCAATGTGGCATTGACATCTTTTTAAAGAAAATGGTAATAATTATAAGCTACTACTACTGTACATGCATATTAATGGATAGCCGGAAGCTAAAATGAAGAATAAAAGAGGATGTAATCAGAATATGGATTGGAGAAAAACATTATTATCATGGAAGTCACAGGGATATTCCACAGGAATTATCAAGGTCAAATGAGTCTAATAGCATGCATCATATTGATGCATGTCATGTCATCCCATGGCATACTCAGGGGAGGTGCCGGGAGGGGGGGGGTTAGGGCATGAATATGAAGAAGTGGCACAGCGTAGTTACTTTGTTGAACAAAGGATTGGCTATCTTCTAAAAAAAAAAATGAAACTAACTTAATACAGCCCATGAAATTAGAAAAAAATTAGGTCGGCAAAAATTTGCCGACCTTAAATTCTCCGAGGTCGACAGCCTCTGCAATTTTTTACTACCTAGGCCTATATAGTATAGTATTTTTCCAAACGCTCGACCTTACATCGTCATCTACAGATTGTGATTTTGGTAATTTCTGTATTAAATCAATATATTGCTGGTGAAAGAATGGTCGTACTTGTATTAATTTAATAATGTAGTATAATACATATGTTTTACATAAGAAAATCGCCGAATAAATTTCGTTTTAGCGTTTGTTTTATCATTATCTTTGGCATGGGAAATATCACTTTCGTAAAAAACTACGATCGTATTCTCACAGGCTGCTTCAAAACTGCCCATGCATGTCCGTGCGCATGCCCAGAATGATCTATCAGGGATTTTCCACACATGTACAGTACTTGTTAGTAGTGAAGTCACGATGTGATCGTGATTGCGTTTAAACGGACGGTAGGATTAGGCCTATAATATGTTTTTGTTTTAATAATATTTTGTTGTTTTTAGATAATGAACAACATTTTAAATATGATAATACTGTAAAATGAAGAGAAATAATAGATTTAGATAGCATTACGGTCTACGCAGCCCATGTGGCTTCAATTGTGCGATGTTGTAGGCCTTGTCTGGCTAGCTAGTGTCATTCCTACCTAGGCCTAGCCTACGAAATGACCAGGCGAGAAAGACAAGACGATTGTACACAAATCGTACGTATTGCATGCCTATTAAAAATACAAAGAAATCTGTTTTATGAACCACAAATTTCCTTGGTTTGACGACATACATGAAATTTAGTGTCTGCTATAGCCTGTTTTTTACTTTCAAAGCATTTTTTGAAGCAAAGAAATCTAGGCCTAGGTCGGCAAAAAATTGCCGTCCTGTAGCAATTCTGGCTCGGCAATATGGTCGGCAATTGCCAATTGGCGACGTAAAATTCGTGGGCTGCTTAATATGCCTTTGAAATCCTAACAAGACACATATAAAAAATGATCAGCTTACCCTGAACTTTGAAAGTCATTAATGCTTCCAGCATTTTCACCAGGTGTTGTATTACTGTGACACTGATGTTGACTATCACAGACAAAGGACTGCAGAGTAGGCAACCAGCCAGCCGAAAACAAAGCCCGACTGTAGAAATGGCCTGCAGAGTTAAAATATAGTAATTATGGTTAGGAAACATATTTTTATTAGCTTTAAAGTACAGTATGTCTAGAAAGCTACAAATGCATTTAACCCTTTCCAGTCGTATGGTGTCACGACAACGCCCTCTTTGACCATACTTTATAGCGAGGGGCGTCATACGTACGCCCTGTATAGATTTCATGTTTTATATCTAGGATTATTTGAGAGTGATGTATAAGTATTTCTGTAGAGGGCCTCCTGTATTCAGACCAAATATAATGCCTGCGCCCAGTAAAAAGCCAACATTTAGTGTAGATGATGTAATTTCTCAGCTTTGGTACAGCCTCAGGCAATGGTAATGGGGCAGACTGGAAAGGGTTAAGGAAACTGGATTTAAAATGAGGCTTTGTTTGGTTAATGTTTTGTTCCACACCAATGAGGTGCTGCTAAGAACAAAAAACGAAGAATGAGAGGCAGTAATGCAATGGCGTAGAAAAGTATTTTTCATTGGGGGAGGATGATTGGCATGTTAGCCAGTGTTGCGGGGGTGGGGGGCTGGGGGAAAACTGCCCCTCCCCTGACAGTTTTTACCGGGCTGACCAAGCCGTCGTACCGGGCTGGGTAATAAGAGAAAAGACAGAGGGGAGAGGGAGGAAAAGAGAAAGAAGAGGAAAAGAAAAGGAAAGGAAAAGAAAAAGAGAAGAGAAAAATAAAGACAAGAATAAAATGGAAGATATCATAATGACCAGACTCACATCACCCTGCCCTTCTCCACTTCAAAAACTGTCATAACTCCTTTGATCTCTGCTGCCCGATGGCGTAACCAATGTGGGACAAGGGGAAAATATCTATCTTTGGACAATCTTCCCCACCCCTTTATAAATGCCCTTTTCATCCCCTGAAAATGCCTAAAAACCCCAAATTTCTTGTTAACATGGGCCAATTTCCGCTAAAAATTGCACATTTTAGAGGGGACAAGGGGAAAATATCCATCTTTGGAAAATCTTTCCCCACTCAATCCTCTGAAAGAGCCTGAAATTCTCAAATTCTTTGTGCACATTTCTTGTTACGGTAGGCCAATTTCCTCTATAAATTGCACATTTTAAGGAGTTTTCATCAATTCTGACGAAATTAGAATTAAAAACACAAAAATGTATTTTCTTCGCGCGCATTTTTTAGAACTTTTTTAGATTAATCCTTTTAAGTTATTTAAACACATAATAGTCCCAAACTCAAGAAAGACAAATTTAGGATAGATCGTTTTAACCTAAAAGAAGGTCTCAATGTGTATTAATGGTGAAAGAATATGTTTGTAATAAATAAAACCATGATGAAAATGCTTATATTTAGTTTCAAACACACATGTGTGCCCTATATTATAAATGAGATAAGCCCTATGTCGTATTGTTTTTTATATGGGGAGTGGGGTGGGGTGAGTATGGTAAATTATTAACCAGAAAAATAAATACCCACTCTGATCTAAGACCCCTGTTACGCGCCTGGTGTTAGCCCCTTGTGCGGATGTGCCCCCTCCCCTCTGAAGCTGGAAACCTTGTTTTTGAAAAATAAATTGATGCAATTTGCTACTATATGCCTAATCAATAAATTCTCATCAACCGATATAACCTTAGACATTCTTGGAATTGACATAACATTACTGTGAAATGTGGCTCTCTTTGCAAGCACATCTAACATCTAAGGAAAGAAGAGCTTAGATTGGTACCAGATAAAATAATTTTGTTATCAACATTAATACATTATGCTAATTTTCATCTTTGTATAAAGACAGTGCAAATTATTTCTGTGACAGTCTTTTGAAGTGTGTAAAGCTCCATTTTATCCCATACATAGTCAAAATATTGGGGGGATGATATAATGGACCATCCCCCTCTTGTCAAATATTGGGGGGATATATCCCCCATCCCCTGGGATCTACGCCTATGAGTAAATGAGGAGGAGATAAAATAAAATTGGGTGTAGTGCAGAATTAACATTTAATTAACATATATATACAGTAGGTAAAATTGAAAATAATAATCAAATAATTAATAATATATACTGCATCATTATAATAAACTATGAACATCAGTGATTATGACTCAAAGATCATATATTATAATCAAGATAGCATTCTCCGAGATTTCTGCATTTCTGTAATAACACAGTGTAGGGTGCCTTCTATGCAAGTGATTACTTTTTAATTTTGACATCAACGATCGTTAATTATAACATAGCGCATCTCAGATTTCTGCATGTAAGTTCTGTAACAACCATGGTAACAACTAGGATGCTCTCTCTCAAAATGAATACTTTTTATGCTTCTTTTTACTGAGCATCGTTTCTATTTGTTACGCCTAAATCGCGAAAAGCATTATCTTGTAATTATAAGATCTTTGTTGATGATGACCGCACTCTAATTAGCAAGCATGAAATACTAACAATTGTTTGTACACAAACTCTACTCAACATCACAGATAAAATTATATATTTTTTTTTGTAGAATATGTTGTATACATACTTTATTGTGTATGGTATAGATCAATATTTTATAAAGGCATCAAGGTAGTTGATGGATATTTTATTAAGCATCAAGGTTTTTATTTTGTATAAAAATATATTTTATTTATCTTCTCATGTAAATTATTGTCATAACATACTTTGGCATCTGTCAAGTTGAGGAGTAGCTTGGTGGTTAAGATGTTTGCAAATCCCACGGTCCTGTGCTCAATTTCTTCCAAATACTAGATTTTATAGCATACTTTTTTCTTCATAAATACGCAAAAATTAATGGCAAGTGGACAAAATGGACTTGATGATAGCAACATCTTGGTAATAGAGTATTTCATTATGTCAGGAGACTAGAAAAAATAAGTGGGCAAAGGGATGGGAAATATTACTTACATTCTTCTTTATATTCAGGTGGTTCAGATCTCCTGACAAGTACAATGATGATAAAAATGAAAAGAGGCCAACAGAGTTCTACCAGTAGCCTAACCTGTAAAAGTTTGATGAATAAAAAGTGTTAGCCATGTTAGTCTGCTATAGAATAATATGACAACAGTATAAAATTTATTCTCTAGCTTTTGTCCATAGAGTAGACTTCATCAGGAGACTGTACAAATGGGATAAGAAACATCTCAACAGAGTTAAGAAGGGGGAGGTACTACAACAACCAAGTATGCAAATGTGGTAGACAAAGCATCTAGTTTGCAGAAACTAATGGGCTAATAAACAATATTTTAAGTAGACAGAAGATCAATGTTAAAAACTATGGGTAATATAGCATAAGGCTATGCTAAATTCAATAAAGTGAAAAATAATTTTTTTCTTTATCCGCAAAAAAAATTTTTTCCTGTGCGTGTGCCGGTAAAAAAATCTTTTCATCACCGTTTGAACTAAAATACGACAGGAAGTCTTTAAATGAATCATTTAATCACAAATTTAACACAGAAGAAAACATTTATTTAAAACTAAAAGAGAACAAGAAGTTGAGCACCATATGCTGTATGCCAAAGTAGATCAGGGATGTCATTATGCAGAGCGGATGGTGGGCACGGCTGCCAGCCTTGATGTCTTGCGCCCATCCTAAAGCCATTTTTAAGGTCTTCCGCCCAGCCTCGTACAAACTGCCCTGGCCAAAAACCGTACCCTCTCCTAGATGAAATTCGACACAATTTTTACAGTGGGGGTGAGCTGGAAATTAGCGCTCATGCAACATACTTTCAACATAGCTAACATAGTTTTAAAAAAAATTTAAGACTGTTTTCAATGAATATCATTTTAAGACAGCATGCACTTACGACGTTGAGTAAACAGGCATGTTATTGTTTTGCTTTACTTGTTGGAATGACTTCAAGAATTTTAATCATTATACCGTGTGTAATACAGTACATTGCGGTAAGTGAATTGATTTATATAGTATCACTAAGACTTTGTAGCCTTAATAGTGCTAACCCTACGTAGCGCTGGTAGGCCTACTGGTGGTGAATTAACAGTTCAGTGTTAGTCGGGATTAATTTTCTTCGACTTTAAATAAGCCTTGCATTGAGGCATCAACAACTGTTTCTCTATTGAATGTCCAGAGGGCTGCAGAATGCGGCGATAACTCTGTAGAACTGACATGTAAAAGCAGTGCATAGTTGCATGAGCAATGTTCGTTTCCAACGATATAGCCACTGTCAAACCATGGATCTTATTCATTTCGCTTTTAGTGAAGCGAAACTCGTGAACAAGACGATGTTAATTTGATTTACTGTAGGCCGTAGTTCACAATTGAAAATGGGAAAGTCACTAGCCTACTAAGTGGGAGATCATTACCCACCAGTTACAGATATTTTGAACCAGTGAAAATTAACAAGATATGTTGAATAAATAAAAGGATAGTGGAGGATAGTGGATAATTGTGAAAATGTTTCCAAAATTTTGTTAGTCCAATTTATGAAATATTTCTATTAGCAAATAAAATACAGTACACTGAGTTCATAATTTTGGCATTAGATTTACTTATTACTACTGTAGTTAATGACTACAATATTGCAAAATTTGCATGAGACAGAACTGAACAGAAGAAAAGTAGACATTAATGATAATTACATGATGATGACCAATGCTACAAAGGTTAGTAGTCTTTGTCTTAAAAAATAAATTATTGTTTTATTGTTATTCAACATTTGAACATTAATTATGTCATCATCAGGAATGATGATGACATAATTAATGTCGCAATAGTGAATCCCGACACGATGGCGTGCACTTCGATACTTGGAGTATGTATTATACTATTGTATCAGAATACAAGAAGGTACATAAAGAATACAAATTTGACAATGAATAATAAAATGGGAAAACTGTACAAAATATAAAAAATACTGTAGAAAAAAAACCAGAGGAAGTTCAAAAACAAATACATAACAGTGATTGAGATAAATTGAAACAATTCAGTTTTTGCTGACACAACACGAACATGTTAACCACAAAAATCCATACTAGCCAATACATGGGACTATAATGCAAACTATTCTTTAACTTGTACTAATGTGTCTGTTAAAATTGGCAGAAAGAATGTCTTCATTGTAAATTGAAAGCATTTGTTTTTTTCTTCAGTAAGAATGACCAAACTTTTAATGACTCACTTGCACATTCATTTCTAAACTGTACTGTACACGGAGCTTAGAATGCTTAGATTTAAAATATGCATATAAATGAATATAAAAATTTTGTAAATGTAATATAATTTACAACTCATGATTAGAGCAAGCATTTAATGAACCAACATCGGAACTCCAAAAATAAAATGTGGCAAAGACAAACCAAACCAGTCAGCCCTCACAAAAGTGGATTTATAAATAATACACGGCTAAACAGTAAAATGAAATTTTTAAAATAATCATGTGCTGTTTAAAATAATAACAGCTTTTAAGAAATCAGCCTTCAGAGTTTAAAATTTTGAGGAATTCTCTCCATCATCAAATCATCAAAAATGGAGAAAATAACAACATAGCATGAAATGATGTATAAATAATGGGTTAGTGTAGAACAATAAAATAGATTTAAAAATCAACATTTCAACATGTTTTGCCATTATCCCCGTAGCATGATTTACGAGGTTTTACTGGTTTGGTTTGTCTTTGCTACATATGAATGATGAATATTCAAAGTTGAAATCATTAATATACACAAATATTCATACCTTTTTTCTTTTGCGATGAACCCAATTCTTCCATGTTAGAAGGTAGAGCTGGCTAGCAAAACCCATTCTTCAAATGCGTACACAGAGATACTCCCTCACTGACTTTTACTTCTCCAAAGTTCAACTTTCACTTGAAGGCTGTGACTTTAGTCTCACTGACGTAATTTGTGTCTACGTGTTAACAATGTTTCAGCAGGAGGCTAAATCCCTCAGACACTCTTCAGCCTGTTTAATAATTCTTATGCCCTAAATATACTGCTTCTTCAAAAATGTTTTGGCAACATTTTGAAAAACTTCCTGAAAATACATCAACGATATCATTAAATTCGACAAGATATACGCATGAGCACATTCAGCAGCAGTGCTGTCGCCATTAGTTAGCCAGTTAGTTCAATCGAATGCTCATTGCAAAATTTCTAGTCTCATCATTTCTGTCATGAGATTTCTGAGAGGAATATTCCATTATATAACAGTCAAAACATACAAAGTTGACTTCATTTTTGGTCTAATTATGGCCTAAAAATAATTTTTTTAAAAATCAGGGTGCTCAATAATTTGTATTTACCTGGTAAAGAAAGTAATGTACTACCAACCTTACCAAGCCTAGTTAAGGCTTTTGGACAAAACGGCAATAAGTTGGAACAGCAATGACCAAAACAACAAAAAACCAAAACGGCAACACTTTTCAACCAGAACGGCAATAAAACAAAACGGCAATAAGTCAAAACAGCAAGACCAAAACGATGCTAAACAATTTGTCATAAAAGTAAAAATGCGAAAAAATAAACTACCGTACTCGCGCGAATAAGCGGCTCATTTGAACAAGCGCCCTTCTCGAATAAACGTCCCTCCTAACGTGAATATTTTCTTAAGCGCCCCATTTGAATAAGCTCCCATTCTAATTTGAATAAACGCCCCTTCAATAATCCAATCATTGTATATCATACCAATCAATCCTGGGACTGTGGATGTTGGCATGATTGGAGGTGTGGAGTGGAATCACATTCTCCTGTAGGCAATATCAAAATGAGGATATTTATCTTGGACAGATGAGAGTTCCCTGGACAGACAGTATATTTCCAACTATCATCTTCTTTACATTTGTCTATAGCTTAGTCCTACTCCTTTTCCAACAATTTGCACCTTTAACACATTCTCATCTGAGTTTTCAAGAAAACCTACAATGATGATGCCATCCTGCTAATCTCAATCAGCTGATGTTCAACAAGCTAACCACCACCACTAATTTCATCTGCTATTCTGCTGTTACATAATACTGAACTCACAACATTCTTGTCATGACAAGCCATGCTCTCTGGACGATTATCTTTTCCGCTGCACCACCATTTGTAATTTGCGGTTTCCTGATGTAATTATATAATCGTTTTTCATTCAAAATGTGCCTCTTTAATTTAATAAGTTTTCATAAGAACCCCTCGATTTTCATCTATTTCCATAAGCGCCCAATTTCCACTCTGTTTTCCACCCCGTTCGAATAAGCGCCCCTCAAAAAGTGCAAAAAAACATTTTAAGCGCCCGGGCGCTTATAAAAATGAAAGTGTACTACGATTAAATAAGGAAAAATGAGGCTAAAAAGCAGCAGCAGCAATAATAATAATAATAATTATTATTATTATTATTTTATCATCATTTTTATTATTATTATCATCATAAAATTCAATATTAAAAAGATTGGGGGGAAACAATATAAAAGCAGTAAAACATTTTAACAAATAAAACTTTCAAAATACTATTTATGTCATAAAAGTAAGAAATGCGAAAAAATAATAATAAACATTAAAAGTGGGAAAAAGAGCCCATGGCAATATTCGATTTGTCTATCGGGACAATTTCAAAACGATTCAGAAAATTATAAACTGCTAGCCTTGGCAATGATTTCACTCCTTCGCCATTTTGGACTATACTGTTTTGGTACTTGTCATTGTCATTTTGGTTCATTGCCATTTTGGTCATTGCTGTTTTGATTTATTGCTGTTTTGACCTGCTACACTTACTCGGCCTATGCCTATATGAATACTATAATGTTCTGTTAATCTTGTTGGTCAGTCTATTTTAGGCTCAACGCTGAATACAAGAGTAAGGTATAGCTTACTCCACCAGGCCTACCACCTTATCATATCAATAACCCAATTAATAATGGTGCTAATGCACTTTCGCACCTACCTTTTAATTCTTAATTTTTTTACCTTAGTGTTCTGTTCTTCTCACAGTCACAACATATGATTATAAAACATTTTTACATGATTCAACCACTCACAAATTTTTTTCCAGCAAAAAAGATACCCTTCACAAATACAGGTTCATACAGCGTTGTCAAGCTTGCTGGCACGACGAGCTGTACTGTTTTGCAATCAGGTAGAAAATTACACGAATGTCCCGAGTCAATTCTTATAGGGCCGAATGTGAAACAATTAAAATTTGAATTGGAATTTTCCCATGAAACATCCGACAAACAAAATGTGGCATTCATGAAGTACCCTAGTTTTGTTGAACTTTCTTGTCGTAATTGAGGTTCTTCATCGATAAAGATACATTTACAAATACAGGTTGATACCGTGTTTGCTAGCACGACGAGCTGTACTGTTTTGCAATCTTCGCACTGTAAACTCAGACATTCTGGCAATTTCCTACTGATTGCAAATGGCTGCAGCTCTCAAAAGTGCATTAGCTCCTTAATAATTACTAATCAGCCAGGGCTTTTTTCTCTAGGCCTAGGCCTCTAGTGGTGGGGATAAGACTACTTTGGAAGCCGACAACAATTTTATTGTCTTAATTGTTAAAAATTTTAATAAACATATTTTTAGATGTGGGTATAAAATTTGTTTTTAATACATTCTATCTACCTAAAAGGAGAGTGGCTGCAAAGGCAATGTATACATACATAATAACGCTAAAGCGAAAAGTACGATATTGCCAATATATTCATTATTCGAAATAATACGTTTTTCGAGCATAGCTCTTCATCTATTTACCTGTCTATCGTTCATTTTTTAATCTTGTACTTGAACATTATACAAACCTCGATCAGTGGCGGCCGATATTGTCGGCGGCCGAAGTCTACTAATCTAGGCCTCCTTCCTAGTGCCTACCTAGCCTACGTTAGCTGTTGTTGGATAAGGAATACGAATTGATTTTCAATATAAAATGAAACATCAATCTGATACCTGATAATTAATTTCGTTTAGTCCCTGTACATCTTAACAGAGAATGAATCAAGGAAACCACAATATTGATCGTCGTCACACAACTCCGTTTTCATCACTCTTGCACAACATTCTGTTTGCTTTTGCTATGTTTTTTTTCTCATTCTGGACAGCGCCACCAACGACTGAGAAGCTCCGCCTCCGCAAAAATCGTTGTACAGTATACTGTATTGAATGACGTCAATAACTCCATGGTTTTACGATGGAGGATACGATGTATGGTACCACCAGACGACAGCGTCATAAATTTAACTGGGATAATCACAATTTTATGACAAATACTTAAATTATATTTTCCACCTCATCTTTTGATGGAAGAGGTGAGGTGGGGTTTTACATTAAATTAAAAAAAAGCCTAAAAAAAAAGGATCTTTGATTCCATTTTAGGGCATTGGCTAACAATCTGAACAACAGCATCATTTATTTCAGACAAAACAAACTGCATGTTGGATGATTAACCTATTAAATATTTCATATACGTCCAGGGGCGGATCCAGAGATGTCCAAAAAGGGGGAGGGGGCGAAAGTTGGGCCGATCGAGACAACACTGTTCGAGGGGGTTCGGCATGCCCGCGAAATTTTTCTGTTCTAGACGGCGCCCGAAAATAACATTTGAAGCATTCTGGGCTATCATTTTTTTTTCATTTTCTTTTTTTTTTTTTTACTTTAATTTTTTTACCTACCAAAAGGAGCAACTTCAAAATGATCTTCAACAATTAGTAAACTGGTAAAAAAAATGGCAAATGACATTTAATCCGTCCAAATGCCATACAATTGATATGACAAGAAGTAAATCCCACTACATTTCAAATACAGAATGTTAGGTGAAAATCTGACTATCGTCAACAGTACGACGTCGATACCTAGGAATTACACTTACCAATGATTTATCATGGGAACTACACATAAACCAAGTTATAAATTATTCAAATAATCTTGGATTTCTCAGAAGAAATTTTTCAAAATGTGACTCGCAAATCAAAGCAGCAGCATACAAATCACTCATTCGCCCAAAGCTTGAATACGCATGCTCAGTTTGGGACCCAAATCAACGCACACACACCAATTCAGTGTCGCACACAACTACAAACATAGTTTCTTGCCTAAAACAATAAATGATTGGAATAATCTTCCATCTGAGGTCGTCCAGGCTAATGAAGTATCAACCTACAGATCAGCTCTAGATAGGTATTATCAAAATTAAAGCAAGTTAAAAATAAAATTTTCTTAACTAATATGAAATATATACTCTTTAATAAACTTGAGCACACGTTGCACACAAGCAGCAAAACACATTGGACGAAAGTGCTGAAGTTACCAGCGATGTCCAATTAGCGATTCTGAGATTCTGAGGGGGCGGGGCCGGGCCGCCCACCTCCCCTACCCCGCCACCAAATCCGCCCTGACGTCATATATTATTATATCACATATCATATAATAATCATGCATCATATCATATATCATATCAGCGTCTGAAATCTTGTGGGGGGGGGGGGGGAAAAAA